TATTATGTTTATGTGTGAGTTGAATTTTTGTAATGAATATTGAAACTTTGTGGGCATGTCCGCAAGTTCCATAGTTAAGAATATTAAAGATTGAGTCAATAAATAAATAGTTGAGTTTGGTACATTATGTTCTCTCGGGTCTGTTTTTCGGAGCAGTCTTTCCTTATCTCAATGCCAATCTAAATATACTCGACCAAAAATTATGAAATTTTTATGAGAGCAACTAGACTTAAGTATCTTTCCAATGCCTCTAGAATCACCCTTATATCTGATCTGGTTTGAGAGATATAACAGTTTTAAGTTGAAGTATCTGCGCAGTCTGGAACCTGGAATAGTTTCGGTTGTCATATTTTTGAGTAACCTAACGACGAAATCTGAGATTGTTGTTTAATACAATATCACCGGTTATCGAATCTGTTAAGATTAGTAAGATTTTTCTTGCTGATTTTTGACTGATTCATCAGTTATCGATCTTGTTATAATAAATGTTCAATTAATTATAACAAATCACCTGATTGAGATAGAGATAGATCGGCATCACATCATCATAATTGGTCTTCTGATGACTTGATTCTGCTAGATCGGCTGTTTTATCTCTATTCCAATCAAACGTAGTATGCATTCAAAGACATGTTTTAATCCTGAATAAACTTACTAGTTAATGAGATCCAATCTAATGACACACCATAGCTGTATCGATCCAGTCAAACCTCACTGATAAGATTTTGGGTTAGAGATTATCGATGAGTGGTTTTGTTCATGGTCGAGATATGTACTCTGTTTGTTTGCTATGCATGCATCGGCTATTTTAGTCGATTCGCCTGTGCTTTCACATATCTGGCACAATTTAATAAGCCTATCAATATATAGATGGTTTTATAGATTCTTTGACTTTAGTTTGTTATCATTATCATAGCTGCATCGATCCGATCGAACCTCACTGTTGATGGTAATAGATTAGATTCAGAGCGTTTGTAGATCCATTTTTACCGACAGTCGATTTGTTCGCATATTATATCCCTTCTCGTTAAACTTATCGGCTCAATGTTTTACACTGGTTATATCCATATAGCTGATGATATTTCTTTATATTACTTATATCTGGATGTATTGTACTTGTTATTATAAATCAATCATGACCCACAAGCATCACAGTCCCTAAACAGTCGATTTCTTCTTATATAGGCTATTTAGTCAATTCCCATGTTTGGCTGCTCCCAAAGCAGCATACTTAGAACTGCCTGGGCAAAACTGACATATTCCATCTTAAATTACTGATAAGTTTTCTCTCCTTGTCAATTACAGGTCAAATTGACTGGCACACCTTCGGGATTTTCAGGATCGACTGGCCAAGCAGAACTCCGGGTTGACTCCGCCCAGATCGTTCCAGCTTGCAGTGTGTCAGGCGCATCGCCACATTTTTACGCCGACACACGTTTTGGCACGCTCGGTGGGACTTTCAGGATCGACCGGTCCTGTGTTGAAGCCAAGCAGATCTCCGGGTTGACTCCACCCAAATCGTTACGGCTTGCAGTGTGTCAGGCGCATCACCACATTTTTGCGCCGACAATAAGCAATAATTGTTAGATTAGTTCCATAGCCTGAAAAGCAAAGATGTACAGATGTATGAGGAAATTGCAAGAATATAAAAGAGGAAATTTCTGTCCATAATAACAAAACATAACACATAGGCTTGGAATATGTTGACAGAATATAAAGTCAGTCATATATAGGTTTTTTTTTTGCGTTATAAGCGTTGAGCATTACTGTCTACAAATAAAATTTGCATATAGGAAACATTGAGCGTAAACCTATAGAAAGATCACTGTAAGGTAGATAACATATTTCTATATTTTGTATTTGTCTGAATGTTACAGCCTTTGGTTGAACCAAGCCCCAAATCAGACCAATGAATCATCCAGCAATAGGCCAATAGCTATGAAGTTTAGAGCTAAATAGCATAGGTGACATGAGGTAAGAAAATGTATGAGCTCTATATATATGTCTGTTAAACTCAATGGACCAATTCTATCAGATCTCTTTTTTCTTGCAGATTATGTGCTGTGACAAAATGTGGACACATATGTTACCAGAAAACATATGGATGTCATGATGTCTCCCTATTACTCCTATTCAAAAACTCTTTATTTTGGAGCCTGTCCATTGCAGCTGTGAGGTAAGCATGTAGTTGCTAAATGCTGATATTGTTTAATGACTACTAACTATATAAAAAGATCTGCGGTATAAACCATTTAAGAAAGAACATATTAGTCCATGCTACGGCACATATATTTATCCAGAATCCATTAATGAAAGGTCATGTGACCATGGATGTCATAAAACAGGGTTCATGTATGTATTTGAAGCTAAGGCACAGAAAACGGGGAAAAATCTATTCTGTTATAGTGTTTTAGATCAATTGCACACGCTTTAGGCAGCATATAGGATTGTCTATTGCAGAACAATACGGAAGATACATGGCAGAATTTAACTTGGGTTGGAACACTATGAAGCATTTTTACATGGTTAGTAAATTAAACAATCCAAGTCGGAGGTTGGTTCAGTATTACATTTAGTGATATATCATAAATCCTTATGATTCCAGAATCACTGAATAAGATTTTCAGTGGATCGACTGAATTGACCATACTGTATTAGAAGCAATAATTCTTAAATCAGTTTCATAGGCTCAGAACCAAAGATGTACAGAGGTATGAGGAAATTGCAAAAATATAAAGGAGCACATTTCTGTCCATAATAACAAAAGATAACACATAGGTCTGCAACTAATACATAAGGCACACAATATGCGCAGAGAGCACATATTTTGGCATATATAGTTTTTTTTTTGCGTTATATGTGTTGAGCATTACTGTGTACAAAGAAAATTTATATATAGGAAATATTCAACCTAAACCAAGTACGGATGTTCTAAGTCAAAGAAGGAAGACCCGAGCAGGGTAGCTGCGCCCATGAGAGGGGGCATCATCCCTGATGTTGCGATGGCGGCGCTAGTGGCGTAGGCATGATTTATAGTTAAAGTGGTCCATTGTTAATGTTTTTAACCACTATAAATATAGCATGTCGATACATCAGTATATGAATTACCAACTGCAACTAAGATAAAAAGGACATATGAACTTCATAAAATAGATGAGTACAGCTTTTGTAACACAGAACTGAAATACTACATACCCATAATAATCGAAGAACAGTATGTCACAACTACTTGTTCATGTGAGGCCTGCAACTTCTTCTTTGATGCATATTTCTGAAAAAAGAGAGACGATATCACCACTCATCTTAATGTTTCAACAAATATGCAAGAGAAATGTATAATGTTTCAGTTTACCAAACCAACGATCCAATACTGGATACTGAAATAAATAATTCAGTGGCACATTTAAAAAAAAATCTTCCAATAATATGAAGCCATAGTAGTCTAGAAGCTAATTGCGGATCTCTGATCACCAATCCTGGTTCCTACTGTGATTAATTGCTACAGAAGAAATTGGAGAGTACATGACTAAAGGAGAGTACGGCAGGTGGCAGCAGGCTATCTTCGTATGAGAATTCAGATGTGCGTGTACCTGCAGGGCTGCTACTCCGCGTTTTCCATTGTAGTTCGTGGAGTTGCCGATGCCCGATCGCCGTGGTCGCCATGGTCGTGCCGCCTGCTCCTATGGCTGCACCGCTAGGGTTTGCCAGCACCGGGGTTCCCGTGCCAGCACGACACAGCGCCAGGCCGCCGGAGCCGGGAAGAGGGAGGGGTTGGAGCCCGCAGCGTTGGAAAAGGCCACGGCAACCAGCGCCGCACCGGGCGTGCCGCGCAGCTGTGGCATCGTGGGGGGCGTCGACGACGAGGCCGCGCAGCTGGCCGTCCGGTGCGCCGCCGCCGCCTCGGAGGAGCGCCTGGTGCGTCGCCGCGTGGGTGCACGGACATGCCGGGGGAGAAGGAAGGAGAAAGGAGAGCCGGGAGCGGGAGCGGGGGCGGGGGCGGGCGCGGCGGCCGTCGGTGCGCCGCCCGTGGGGGGGCGCCGTCCCCCGCATGCCGCCGCATCTGGAGAGACCAAGGGAGAGAGAGGACGGGCAGATCTTTTGGGGTTTTTTTTTGGCGATGAGGAGGGAGAGCACGGGGTGTTATGTGTGGACGGGTTTTTTTTGGGCGACGTGGCTGGCCGCTGGCCACGCAAATGGATTTCGGAAGACGTGGCCCGCTCAAAAAATTCGGGTGACTTGTCCCATGTCCCCTGCCGGGGTTAACCATAGGGTTGTAGGGGGAGATTACTAGACAATGCCAGAGCCAGAGATTTGAGTACAAAAGGGAAATAGTATGTGCTAAGGCCTATCTTTGCAAACTTTATTTGTCTAACATACTCTAATGTTTCATGTTTATAGATTAAATACAACATCTATCCAGCTTAATCAACCCATGTCAGGGCATACATAGATTATAGTAATGCACTGGTTTCACCTGTGAATTGAAACAGCTGAATTAGTTCAACCTGTACAAGCATGCAAGCGCATACCTGTTGGCCAGGTCGAAACCTCTTAATTATCATGTAATGTGCACGGCCAGGTTTGGCTGAAGGATGCTGAACATTTTATCCTAACAGCAATGCTAATGGACTGGGATTAATCACTGCAATTCTAAAAATTAGCTTATTAGACATGTCGTTATCCTATTACCAAATTCAATTGACTATCAAACTGTCAGTCACAGAAAGTACTTAATGCACACTAAAATGCATCTTAGAATGCGGCATAGTCTTATGATGAAAGTGAATCATTAATTAATTCAGCCCAGTTCTGCGGAAAAATGGCTGAAAGTTCAACTTTTTCCTGATATAATTCTCATCAATGACAACATCAATATATTCCTGCAAAGGGATATAGTAGATTACCTGCTGAAGCCAGTTCCAAGCTACGTCATAGAAGCTTTCTTCCACGAGAAACTGCCCCACGGCATGTATGACTTCATTTGCAACCTCATTTGAAAGTTAATCAACAACTGGTCCAGTTTGCTCCATCAACTTTACAAGTAATTCAGCATCGCCAGTTGAAAGAACCTCAGCAAAAGCAGAGTCCATATCATCAACATGAACAGCATTCATTGCGCGAGTCCAGGCCTCCCAAAGTGGGCCTCTTTCATCCCCTTGGTTGTCATCATTCAAAGCTTCTCCATCCAGTTCAGGAATAGCAACTCTTGCAGCAGCCCTTGAATTTCCATTATCTTCACCAGCCACTCTAATAGTTTCCAGTGTTGCTTCATCTTGAGGCCCGCCATGCACTTCGGGCAGACGGACCCTCACTAAACCTGAAGGGTCCCTGCCCTTTGTCCCAACCTCTCCGGGGACCGCTTGATCATTACTCCGTTCATTTCTTGGCATCCTATTGTCAGATGAAACAGGATCTAATCCTCTCCTTGCATTCATACCGCTTCTTGAACCAGAATAAGCATATGAGTCCCACGGTTCAGAATCTGGTCTCCAAGATGGGTTTTCGTGCCAGAAGCCATACCATCTGCAGAGAAATACCTTTCTGCAAATCCCATCCGTCCATCACCACCCCTTCCAAATTTCGAATTAGAATATTCATGCAAGCCATTGTATTTAGATGATCGGCCAGGAGACGAATCAAAGCCCAGCGCTGGACCACCACCTCTCCTGCCTGACGAGAGTGATATTTCCCTAGACCCTAGCCATTTCCTCAACAACTCTCTCAAGACCACGTACTCTGTTCTCTAAAGTAACCATGCTGTCATGAGATCCTCCCATGAAATCCTGAAAGTTGAAAAACAAGCGATGTTCTATAGTTAGCCCAAAACATGTCTAGTAAGTTTAAATTTGTCCACAAAATCAGCACGCAGCCATACACCTATCAGCTACTTTAGTCTCATTTGCAATCTAGATAAAAAAAAATTAGTATACCTAAAGGAAGCAGGAAGCTACAACACGTATGAATTATGCAACAAAGTAGTCAAGTACCATATCAGGTAGGCACAAAGCAGTCAATTTTCTTTCCAAAGATGTACTAGAAAGTTATTTTCAAATAACAAATAAACTGGGTACCAGAGCTCAACGAGCTGAGCATGAGGCTGGCTTGGGCAACCTCAAGTTCAAGTTTGAACCTCAGTGTGAGGTCAGCTCTATAGAAGCATGAAAAAGCTCAAGCTCAGCTCAATAAGGACAAAAGGCTTGCATTATTGCATGTTTTTTAGTTAGTATATGTTAGTACTCTTGAACTCAATACGGCATTAAGGCTCCAAAACTCTATAGATGCACGTACACAAATATATCTTATAAGCTCAAACAAGCTCAATGCTAACTAGGATATGCATACATTAATATGTCATATGTATATCTTCAAGTCTTCAAGCCTAATTAGGCCAACAAAGCCCAAGCTCAAGTATTTGATCCCAAGAAAGACTTAAATCTCAGCTTAATTGGGCATTTGCAGTGTTTCAAAGGCGACGCCTAGGCGTCCAGGCATACCCAGCTCGCCTTGGGAAACAGTGGCACCTTGTCGCCTAGGCGCCACCTAGGCGTCCAGGTGTACCCAGCATTCGCCTGGATGCCAAGTCGCCTTTTAAACACTGGGAATTTGGGATCAAGCCTAGTAAAGGCTTGTCGGGCCCAAGCTTTCAGAATTTGCCATACATGTAAAAAGCTTGGTCCACTTGCTCTGTTGTTTAGGGACAACTCAAGTCTCTGTATGATGGCTTAAGGAGAAAAACAAACGACATCAAAAGGTGGCCAATGCTGACAACAACATAGCTTCATGACAAGAGTTATAATTTCACCTGCATAGTTTACTGAGTTGAGAAAAGTCTTATTTGCAGAGGCTTAATAGTTAACACTTCTGATGTTAGTTCCTTGTCACCAATCAGAAAGTCTGTGATATCCATTTCTAGATTCCTCTTAGCCGCAAACAGGAAATGGAACTTCAAACATTCCAGAGAAATAACGATAAACTAACCTGCAACATGTTCATGAGACTAGTTTGCTGTCTCTCCAAGTGTGTCAATTGCCTCTGTATTGCTAACCAATTTGTTTTATTATTTATGAAAGGGCCATCTCCAGGAATGTTCATGGTTGCAGCAGTGGAGTCTTTTGTACTGGGTTCACCCCTATCTTCAACATCAGCTGTCCTAGCTTTTGTGTCTTTGTTTCTATTTCCCCTTTGGCCAGCCCATTTATACCGAATATTTTGAAAATTAGAGCTAGCACGCATTTGAGTTAGATTTGCTTCATCTTCAGCTGATCCATTGCTGTCAGCTGGACCAACAGGATCATCATCTTCTTCTGTATCACCTTCACTTAGTGAGATTGTAGAGTCTTGCCAGGGACTACAACCTCAACTGCCAATTCATCTGTTTTCCTTGTCTCAAGCTTTTGGAAAAACTCAGGGTTCAGTTCCCTGTCAGTTAATGTTGGTCTTTTCTTCAAAAGCACTGCTGCCTTTTCAGCTATGCTACTGCCCTTCACGTTGTTACTAGGTGAATCTGGAGAGGAATCATCGAAGGATTCTGATTTTCCACCTCTTTGCATTGACCTTCTTGAGTCCAGTTTCCCTTCACCATCAGCTAGATCCTTATTTCTACCATCTGCTGCATGTAAATTGTTCTACATTAAGTATGGAATAGTAAAACCCTCAACGATATAGTAGAATTGGTAAACAAACAAACATTACCATTTGCATCTTCTCCAGTCAACTTTTTCCACAACTGTACTGCATCAATCATGCTATCTCTGACAGGCCTTACCTGTGAGAAGAATATGATGACTATGACATATGAATACAAAAGTATGTATATTGTGGTCATCTGGAAAGGTTTCATGAGCAGCAAGAGGGCCTCAAACATAGATGGAGAAACATAGATGGCAAAGAATTCTAGGTTACCTTATCAAAACGGCAAGCTTCGAGAGCAGCAATGGTTGGAGCTGTTCCGTCACCTATCAAGTGACCGGAATGGGTAGCAAAGACACATAATGTATCAGCAGCTGCTTTTCTAGTAGCCCAATCGCTGTTCTCAAGGCAGTCACTGATACTTTGCAGAGTCTGCTGCATATTCTGGGAACTGATTGCTCCCACCTGAAAGGTGAGATATGAACAGATACTCAAATTATGAAGCCCAATAACCATGGTGATAGTACACACATAATATCGATGTAGAATGGCATAACCGCATCATAAGCACAACGAAACAATACTAGCATTGATGGAAATATTGTCATGATAAAACTACATAATGCTCCTGAATCATGACAAAACTACCTAAAGCTCCTGTAGGTTTAGCACTGAAATCCTATATGAATATAACCAACAAAACTCAAAGAGCTGAGCTGGAACCTTAACCTTATACTCATGATCCATGTTATCGTAATTCGTAATACAGATGAATCATGTAAATGTAATAATAATAAAAACAAAAGACACAAGTACAGTCCAACCTAGCAAGCTACATGCTACTTGTAAATCAAAGTCTAAAAAAGATTAGAAAATATCTAAAACACTCAAACACGATCCAACACTGTAAATCAAAAGACTAATGCACGACCACCATCCAACATGGCTCACACTGCCAACAAGTAAGAGGATAGATAAAATGACTGTCTTCTACTGTCTCAGATAATACATGAAATAATACAACAACAACAACAAAGCCTTTAAGTCCCAAACAAGTTGGGGTAGGCTAAGTCTTTAGGTATATTCCATCATTTCAAGTCTCCTTTTATTGCCTCTACCCAAGTCAACTTCGGTCTTCCCCTGCCTCTGTTCACGTTACTATCCTAACTTAGAATTCCACTACTCACCGGTGCCTCTGGAGGTCTCCGTTGGACATGTCCAAACCATCTCAACCGGTGTTGAACAAGCCTTTCTTCAATTGGTGCTACCCCTAATATATCACGTATATCATCGTTCCGAACTCGATCCCTTCTTGTATGACCGCAAATCCAACGCAACATATGCATTTTCGTGACACTTATCTGTTGAGCATGTCGTCTTTTCGTAGACCAACATTCTGCACCATACAACATAGCAGGTCTAATCGCCGTCCTATAAAACTTGCATTTTAGCTTTTGTGGTACCCTTTTGTCACATAATACATGAAATAATAAATCAGGAAAAAACATTTTAATTGAACTCTACGTCATATCTCTGTCTCATAATCCATGGTGAAACTATAAAGAGAGGGAGAGATGTCAATACAAGGTCAATTAAGCTCCTATTTATGGACCTCACAAAATCACAACAATATGATATTTTCCATTGTCCATCAAGTCAAACAGAAACAAGTAAACCCAGACTCTTTGTTCTCCGGGACGACATCAAGCGTTGAACTTCCACATTCACTCTATCAGGAGTACATTGTGATCACAGTGCTTATGCTTTAAAATCCTATCTCCATTTGCCATTCTCAGTAACGATTCACCAGCAGTTTGAAAACTTACTAGTGTCAACCCTACACTTTTGTGAGACACAGAAGCCACGGTACCACAAAGCAGTAGTGAACCCGCTGGAAGCCCTAACCTGAGTAGTGGATAACATTCATAGCCCCACACTGCAAGTAACCTACCAAATAGCAAATTCTTGACCTGCTCCCTGAAGACCAAAACCTTACCTGTATTTTCCATACCTAATACCTAATAAAGTTATCAGGAAATGCACAGGCCACAACCAAAACAATATTATGATTCAAACTAAGAACGCTAGACTTCAAAATAACCCATGCTCCTAGTCTAGGATAAAATTCCTCCCTAAAATATGACATGACCAATAATTAGCAAGGCCTTGTAATATCTGGTATTCCTTGAGTAAAATCATGGAACAGAAGGCACGCACAACAAAATTTTGAAAGGGAGCACCCACCTGTGCCAAACTTCCCATGACGCTGAGCAATGCCGCCTTGGCTTGCACGCCCTGTCCACCGAGCAACTTGCAAATCCTAGGACCGAGCTTCCCAAACATCCTGATGGCACCGGGCCCAGGACCATCCATCACGACGATGGAACAGCTTGATGTGCCACCGTCACCGTTTCAACAGGCCTCAGCAGCGCACCGGCATGTCGGCCAATCACTCCAACAAAGAATGACAAACACAAGCATCACAATTCACAAGGGAACTGGACGATTTAGCGATGGCCAGCAGGAAATACCAGACAAAAATCAATCCAATCTAGTGGTCTCCAGTTCATGGGTGCAACTGTAAATGCAAGGTGAAAAGAATGACACGATCTCTGCCTAATGCCTTATTCACATTTCAAGGGACAATCGACGCACAAAAGTCCTACGGGGATTATTACAAAATTTACTGTATTAAGGGCCTATCTATTGCCTGGCTGCTGCTGGCGGATTCCCCTTGTTAGCAGCACCTTTCATGGCTGTACTAGCCTGTTTGCTGGGTGGTGGATTAGCCGCTCTGTTGGCACCGTCAACAGTCGCACTAGCCTGGCTGCTGGACAGTGGTATCGCAGCCCTGTTAGTGTTGTTCACCGCAGCGCTAGCTTGGCTGCTGGACGGTGGATTCACCACCCTGTTAGCACCGTTCACCGCCACACTATTCGGCTTAGCCTGGCTGCTGCTGGATGGTGGATTTGCTTTGCTAGCACCTTTTGCAACCACGCTAATCTGGCTGCTGGCTGGTACTCCAGAACTGAAAACCGTGGCATTGCTGGTTGTCATTTGGTTACCTTTTGTGTTCACGGCATGCTTCAGGGGAGGCGCTTGGCAACCAGCAGGTACAGGGGTGGCTGCCCTCCTTACTAGTGTTTTATTTGGGCCATTGGCATTGACTGTGTCAACAATGCCACGTGGGGTCCCTGCTGCCGAATGTGAGACAGGAATTTTAGTCTTCTTCCCAGTTGCTGCCACTCCAGCAGTTACAGGCTTAACTTCCCCAACCATAGTTACAGGGTTACCTTTCCCATCCGCAGGAATCAGTTTCTGTGGCTTCTTCTGGCTGCCAACAAGACCTTGGGCTTGGGAAGCACTGTCGGTACACTTGCTTTTATTCAGATCATCCGTGTTTAAGTGTCCTCCTTGAGAAGCAACAAATTGATCAAACTCTAGCATGTCTTTATCTTTGGGATCTACTATCTCAACCTTCATCTCAACCTCTAATCTATCTGGTTGCTTTGATTTGGGGTCCATGGTTTCTTGTTGCATTGCCTTGGGATCTGCGTTTTCTGGCTGCTTGGCCTTGAGACCCGTGGTTTCTGGTTGCTTTGCCTTGGTATCCACAGTTTCTGGCTGCTTTGCATCGACAACTTCTGGCTGCTTTGCATCTTCAGGAAACAAGTCATCTATCGTAATCACACAAAATTCAGAGTCATCCTCCTCGCATGGGACAGGTGCTAGTGTGGTACTCAATGCCTTCTTAGTTTCCAACGAATGTGCCCCAGCAGGTGGCCCTGATTGATTAACTACAGTAACTCCTGAAACACCATGAACTGCGCTAGGATTTAGAGATTCTAGGTGCTGGGAGCCCCCAGGTTGTGTTCCATGCTCAACCACAATCGATGCCTTAGAGCTTGCAGAAGATTTCAAAGATGTTGCTCCTAGAGATTTTATGTGCACAACATTCTTAGACTGTGCGGCTTTTAAAAAACTTGCGGCAGTTGAGGCTGTGGCAAGTCGCCCACCAGCAGCAATTGCTGCTGCTTGTATTGAGGAAGGACCGATGGTGGGATTTGGCTGAGCTGCTTGCTTCTTCCGTGTCTTATTTGAAGCATTTGACAATTTTGGTGGCGCGGCTTGGACAGGAGCTTGTTGCCCTTGATGAAGCGGAGTCTGCACTTGAGCTGCCACACGCAGAGGCATAGCAACTGGGACAGGGACTGGCAGCGCCAGTGCCGCCAGTCCCGGTGCCGGTGCCGGTGCCGGTGAAGGGGTTGCTGCAGATCTTACTTCTGGCATCTTAGGAGCAAACGCTGTAGACTTATGCTGAATGCTTTGTTGATAAGCTCCTGCATGCACAATTTACGTAAGAACCACAAAGACAGGACAGGGTTACAACAGCTGCGATGCGTAAACAAAGCCACAGAACAATGCTTGAGTTGCTGATAGCTCAGCATAGAAACATTATGCTAAAATATCAGCTTTCATGGCGAAGCATCAAAACTCTATAAATACCTGATCTACGCATAGGACCGACAGCCAATGAAAGTGCCTTGAGAGCTGCTGATCTTTCCTCTGAGCCGACAGAAGCATGTTTAGTGCTAGCAGGCTTGGTTGATCCTCCTGGACGCTTTAGCGCCCATCTCTGAAAGGAATGGTACATAATAACCTTTTTTATAAAATACTCTAATGTACGATATCTACATTAGGATAAGAGGAATTCTCAAGGCAACACCAAAATAGTAAACACTACCTCCGTCCCTGAATAAATCAATTCCTAGACTTATCTTAAGTCAAACTTTCCTATGCTTCACCGAATTTATAGAAAGAAGCACAATTAATTATGACACCAAATGCGCACATTATGAAAATATATTTTGTGGTGTATCTAATAATACTAATCTGGTGTCATAAATCTTGGCACTCTTTTCTATAAATTCGGTCAAACTTAAAAAAGGTTGACTTAAGACAACTGGGATGGAGGGAGTAGTATTAAAAGCATAAAAGGCATAAAATAAGCCAACCAATTGTACCTAGTAATAAGAACAAATAAGCATTGAACTCCAGGATATAAAGGGACTGGGAAAGGTTTGATGGCAGATCTGGGAACCCAGGCGTAAGACATAATTATTCAGTAAAGCAACAGATGCATGCATATGGACACTCTGCGTCTCTGCCATTTAAGTATATTCGAGAAGTATGCAACCATAGGTTAAGATGGCTTCAGGATAATTCCCGACACATGTAAATAAGGATGCAATATGGCAGAATAGTGCATGCTATTACACAATTGACAAGATGAACACAATATTACCTGAGATAACTGATCAGGCGTTCTTGTACTATCAAAGTTACATTTATACAAAATATCCTCCCAATTTCCTTCACCATACTTCTGCACACCAGCTGCTAGGTCTGCGTCCTCCTCTTTAGACCATGCTTTTGGCTTCTTTCTCTTTTTTAGAAGCTCCATTTGGATCCAAATGACCAGGAGAGGGTCCTATGATCAGGCAACAGGACCTTCTTTGTACTATCAAAAGCTGTTTCTCAGTTACATCTTTTTAAAACAGGATCCAAGTTAATCGCGAGGCTTGCTCACGCTCCGGATAAACTGTAGTCTTTTTAGAATGTTAACAGAACAAGAGAACATAATAACACAGTCAGAATCAAACTTACATGATTCTTTCCAGTTACAAGGATAACATTTTATTTTCTAAACCAAATGATTTTTCATGCATTCTGCGTGAAAGTTCTTCAAAAAAACAATCTCCATTTTAGTAGCTAAGTTTTTGCCAAGCCAATCGTAATGAACATTGAGCTATCAATGGAAAGGTAAGATGTTTGGATGAAATAGTACTGTAGTTTTTAAAAACATATCATCAGTCAGAACCCTTTTTTTCTAAACCAGGGCAACCAAGTAATGAACATTGAGCTATCAATGAAGATGTTCATATCATCATCTGAGGGCAGTTGCAGCATCCAACACCTTCATGTTACGGAACCTTAAATCAAGACTTTCTTGAGACATTCTATGAGACCCATCTTGTAAATTAATAATTAAATAAAATGGAAGTTCATATTCATAAATACTGAAAAGGAGAAATAAATGTCAGCGAGCGATCATAAGAACTCAATTTTCATCAAACAAAAACTTGCAAGTTTTCTTTTTATTTATAGAAAAAAAAAATCAACTATATTTCATTGCCATCTGATATCTAGTGGCAAAGTGAAGCTTTATCCGCCAGTTGCTAATAAGGCATCAATCAAACTTTTGAAGAGTCAACATTGTGTATCAACCATAATCTAGAACAGACTCAGACTGAGAGCTATATGCCTATATGTTTGTGTACTATCTAAAATACTAAATGCATACCAGAATAACTATTGGCTTATCCAAATCAGGGACCAGGTCAACTGCTATACAGGCTGAAATGTCAGGCCAGACCATCTGGCCTGTAATAGCCTAATAATAGGTATATGTAATAGCACTATCCTCGCTAGCCCAAACAGCATCCCACCTAACACCTGATCACAGTCCTTTTCAGCCCATGACCATTGACAAGCACACGTCCACATGTGTAGCAAGCATCATCATTCACACCAGCATTTCCCTCTGGCATCCGGCCCTGTTCCTCACCCAAATCCCAACATGGCAAGCTACCAGCCACCCCAACCTCTTGCCGCTACCAATGAGCAGCCCCTCCAACACTACTGATGCTCCCACCACTGGTTGTCTCTCCAGTAGTCCAGTGCATGCCTACCTGAGCCTGAGGTGTGCCTCCGCATGTTACTGCCTTTCATGGGCTGTAAAACTGCCATGACTCTTGCTGCCAGGCATCACTGCCACCTACTGGGCGTCAGTGACAGGTGCATGCCACCCTTGCTCAACAGACTCCAGTTCTCTCCAACTACCACAAAGCTGCCTCTAGACTTAAGATTTGTTCTTACTTCTTAGGCCAATCTCAGTGGGAATTTCATCAGACTTTCATTTGCATTTAATAAGCTGCCACATAGGTGTTTTTGATGATGTGGCAACGTTTTTAAGAAGAGAGAAGAATTGAGTTTCATGGGGATGAAACTCTCTTAGCACGATTACCAACTATCTATGAGTCATAAAATTAAATGTCTATGAAACCATCGAATGAAACTTTCCATTGAGAGTGGGTGTTTCATCATGTTTCATTTCATTCTATATGACATGGTAATCTTGGAAACAACTCTATGAAACTCTCCACTGAGACTGGCCTTATTAGTATTTGAATTTCAAAATATTGCATCAGTTTGATGGAATCAACTCAATCAAGTAGCGCTTCTATAATCATTCTGGATAAGATTGCAGTAAAAGATTTGTTTGAGCAAGCCAATCACAACAGCGCAACACTTCTGAATACTTTTTTTGGATAAAGGAACAACGTTCCGGCCTCTACACTTACGAATAAGTGTATGCAGCCAAAACACTAGTGTAAGCAGCCAAAACACTTCTGGATACTTGATCATGGTAAAATAAGGTATTGAAAAATGGCAGAGCAAATGCTACACAAGCAGGTGCCTCTCGCTCATCCTGGATATTTTAGAGCATCAAAATCAATTCAGTGAAAAAAAAGAGAACTAAACAGGATTTGGCATCATGCATTCAAAAATCAAAATGACCATCCTACTGTATGCTTTCCAAACAAGAAGTGATACCTTGGCTAATGCAGAGGCCTCAGATAAAGCTTCCTTGGTCAGGATGGGATTGGGTTCAAGCTCCAATTCCAGGTCACTGTCATCGCCCTACCATTGTCAAGAAGATTGAACATAAAAATAGGTATAGCACCTATTACGGAAGGAGCAGCCAACACAAGAACAAACTGAATTCCTGTGCGTGCTACCTTAAGATCCAAACAATCGCCACTACAGGAATCCCAGCTACTTGACGCCTTGCAAGCCAATCCAAAAGGGGGCAGCAAAATCTAGGCTTTGAGAAGTGGGTAGGATTACAAACCAGAGGCTGGTCGCCGGCGTCGACGCTATCGTCTAGGTCGTGGTGATAGGCGAAGTGGCGCCAGAGCATCTGGTACTCGCGGGCGGAGGTGATCCCCGTGGCCGACTTCCCAACCACCGCCCTCCAGTCGATGTGCCGGCCCTCTGCGTGCTGCGCCACCTCCTGCAGCGCCGTCAGGATCGTCCCCGGAGCGTACCTGCAGGGGGAGAAGGATTGCAAGCGGCGCTGTGAAGTAAAACCCTAGGCGAAAGCGAGCCACCCGGAGAGGGGGGACGGGCCGAGGACGAAGGGGGCGGAGGAAGGACGGACGGACCTGTGGAGGAGGAGGTAGACGTCGTCCTCAGAGAGGTGGCGCTTTCGCTTCCCCTTCCCCGCCGCCAGAGCCGCAGCTGCCATCTCCGACAGTTCGGCGCTTGGTGGAGCAGCTGCTGTTCTACCCTTTCGTTGCAGCTTAGAGAGACGTAATTAGAGGTCACAGTCGCAGCCAGAGCCAGGCACCCTGCTCGCCGCCACCGCGCCCGCCCCTTGCTCGCGCCACGCGCGGTCGGGGCCGCGCGGCGCCCCCGCCGCCACTCGCGGCTCGCCCACGCCCGTGCGGCCGCGCAGGTCCGCCGCTGCCTCGGCGCCTCCACCCCCCGTGCGGCGTCGCGCCGCCGCCGCTGGCCTGCCGGGTGCGCCGCGTTGCCGCCGCCTCCGAAGGATAGGGTTAGGGTTAGGAGCTGGTGCCGCGCGGCTGGGTGCCTGGGTGGGTGTATGCGTGAGGCCGTGAGGGGCCGAGGAGGGCTGGGTGTACGCTGGATTGGTGGGCCGGTGGGCTGGATGGGGCGCTCGTTTGCCCGGGCGGCTATTTGGACTGCCGTCAGGTTGACAGCCCCGAGCCGTTGGATGAATGGCAGCTGGCAGTGAGAGAATAACTGCTAGACAGTATCTGACAAATCCACGGTGAGCTAGTGGAGCGAGAGAGGGAATGAGACTGAAGGCGATGGCCATGGCACCCAATTCGATGGAGCCGCTGGAGGACATGGCGAGCTGCCGAGGACTGCGGTCCTCCCGCAGGTGGCGATCGCCGACGAGGCCGCTGCCATGGGAGAGGCGGCGGCCGCGCTCTGTGACGTGCTCGCTGTCTCCAGCACAGACTTCATTCTCGCCATCCCTCACCCCACGCTGGCCTCACCGCACGTCTTCCCGCCCTCGTCGTCGCCTCCGCCACCGCCTTCGCCGGGGGCGACGTCCGCTGCTCGCCGCGCGTCCCATGGGCGAGGCCTGCAAGGGCGCGGCCAGTAGGCCCCGCGCTTCGCGAACGGCAGCGCAGCGCCATCAAGGAAGTTGTAAAGGCGGACGAACTCAAAGCGCTCTCCAAAGGTTTTATTTTTTATTTTGAGTTTAGGATCCGTCGCACTATAAAGAGGGATGCAAACTTAGTTGGTCTGAGGAAGATAGAGTGCTCAAGCATAAAAATAAAATCAAAAGAAAGACACTCTAGCACTCCACAAGCACGTAGAATATTTTTCAATGACTGTTGATGTCGGAAGTCCCGACGTAAGCCGGAACTCCCGACCGTCGGAAGTCACGACTCATGCCGGAAGTCCTGACGCCCTGTCACTTAGCCTGCGCAATGACTGTGGCCGTCGAAAGTCCCGACGTGAGTTGAAACTCCCGACAGTCGAAAGTCCCGACCCAAGTCGGGAGTCCCGACACCTGGGGTTTTGCTGGCCGGCTGTCTGCGCCCGTTGGAAGTCCCGACGTACGTCAGAACTCCCGACAGTTGAAAGTCCCGACCCATGTCGGGAGTCCCGACACCTGGGGATTTGCTGGTTGGCTATCTGCGCACGTCGAAAGTCCCAACGTACGTCGAGAGTCCCGACAGTCAGAAGTCCCGACGTTTGTCGGGAGTTCCGACATTGACTTGCTCGTGCTGACTTTTGACCCTCCGTGAACAGTGTTTTCTGTTAAGGTCGAAAGTCCCAAGATCTGCGTCGGAACTTTCGACGTAGATCTGAATGGTTAGATTTCTACAATGAGTATAAATAGCCATCTCTTCGCTTCTAAACGTTATGGACTCATTCACTACTCACCAACCTTCATGTTCAACAGCTCCCAAGCAACAAAGGCACCCCTCACCTCCCTACTTTGCTCCAATCTTCGATTCTCCTAGGGTTTTGAGTGAAAGTATAGTGGATTAAGTGAGAGAATTATTTTGACAAGCTTGAGCACTTGATTTCTTCATCAAGCCGGTTGGATTTTTGTCTATTACTCTTGGGCCTTTGCCCCTAGCCGGCTAAGCGTTACCCAAGAGCTTCCATCTTGTGAAAGAGCCTTGAAAAGTTTATATTACCCTTGATTTCTTAGTGGCAAGCTCAAGTGACTTTTGTTGTTGCCTTGAGAGAGGCAAGGAGGTGAAAGAGACTCTGACCTTTGTGGTCACCTCAACAACGAGGACGTAGGAGCTCCTTTGTGGGGTTGCCGAACCTCGGAATAAATCTTTTGTGTCCCGTGTGCTTGTTGTTGTGTTTGTTCAATATTACTTGTATTTGCTTGTCTCTCTCCCGAACTTTATTTTAGGGTTTAGACTCGATCTACGGTTTGGAGGCATTTCGGCGTCAAGGGAGTGGCCCAATATCTTCACCAAACCATTAGAAAATAGGGTTGTAAGATTATTTATCCGTAAAGTTAAATTTGGCACTGCTTTTGTAGTTCACGTAGGCGTCGGAACTTCTGACGTTTATGTCGGAACTTCTGACGACGTCGGGAGTTCCGACCCAAACTGTCGGGACTTCCGACATTGACTGACAAATTTGAACTTAGCATTTGCAGTTAATTTTTAGATACGCCTATTCATCCCCCCTCTAGGTATTGTTAGATCCTTTTAATTTTTATCAAAGCAAGGTCTTCTCTTAGCGCTTCACCGCATGAGAAGAAACAATGTCGGAGTCCAACAAGATGCAAGCTGTTGCCGCCGAGATGGCCAAGAAAATAGCTGAAGAGTTGATGGCTGCTCAAGTCAAGTTCTTCTAAGATGAAATAAAGAAGATGCAAGATGAGATGAGCAAGATGAAGGAAGAATTGAGCAAGAAGGTTGATGATGCAATAAGTGGCAAGAATGATACAACAAATAACAAGAACAAAGCAAACCAAGATGTCGCTAGCGATATTGGAGCCGGTGAGCATGCTCATGGAAAGGAAATATATTCAAACATGAGCTTTGACTATGGACAACTCATTAAAGGTTCACCTCTACATACTCCTTCCGTCAATATTGGCAAGCCACCTCACTTTGATGGAACAAGATACACCGATTGGTCTTACAAGATGAAGATGCATCTCATTGCCGCAAGACTTTGGAAAGTTATGGATGTTGATGTGATGATTCCTACCGATGAAGATAGAGAGATAACTCCGGAAGAAGTGCACAATCTCTATCAAAATGCACAAGTTGTAGCATTGCTTGTGTCAAGCCTAGCTCCGGATGAGTTTAGAAAGATGAATGAAATGGAGAATGCAAAGCAAATTTATGATACTTTGAAAGTGTCATTTGAAGGAGATAGGAGTGTGAGAAAATGCAACATTGAGTTACTTCATAGTGAATTGGAAAGATTTGTGTTCTTGCAAAATGAAACAACACAATCCATGTTTGATAGGCTTATGGCATTGGTCAACCGCATAAGAGCTCTTGGAAGCATCGAATGGGATGACAATAAGGTTGCTAGAAAGATGTTGAGAACCTATAGAGCCAAGAACAATATACTAGCATCCGTGATCATGGAAAGGCTCGGTTATGATGAGATGACACCCCAAGAAGTTTTTTCAAAACTCAAGCATCATGAGTGTCTAGATGAAGATGCAATCAATGCTCACAATCAAAATCCTAATGCAATGGGATACAACAAGAGTGCAGCCCTTAAAGCAACTCAACAATATGAAGGTCAAGGTTTAAGTCAAGAGAAGAAGAAGAAAGTGAAGGATGATTCCTCAAGTGAAGAAGAAGACTCTAATACGGAGGTTGTATTTGTGATTAGAAATCTTAGAAAGTTTATGAAGAAGAAGAGCAACCGTAAGACCTATGGTGATGATAAGAGAAGGTACAAAAAGAGGTTTTGCTATAGATATGATCAAACCGGTCACTTCATAGCCGATTGTCCTAATGAGAAGAAGAAGCACAAGCACGGCAAGGATGAAGACAAAAAGAACAAAGGCAAGAAGAGATGTGAAGCTCATCCTGAGAAAGAGTGGGAGTCAAATGATAGTGACTCAAGTGATGATGAGAAGAAAAAGAAGAAGGGAGCCGCAAACATCGTCATTCACCACTCTTCTTCACCGATCATGATCTTCCCCAACTCAACTTCACCACCAAAACTCTTATCCATCCTATCTTCACCACCGAAGCTCTTCTCCAACCTCATCAACAACGACTGCTACACTCCAACTTGCCTCATGGCTAAAGGGGAGAAGGTACATGTTACACCCGATCCCTCTAGTAATGAGTATGATAGTTGTCATGAGAACATAGAAGAAATTAAAGCAACCATGATAAAGAAATTTGGTAAAAAGACCTTCACTAAAATAAAAATGCTAATAAAGAAATTAGAGAAGAGGGATAGATGCTTAGAGATGCAAGGAGATATAATCACTCAATAGAGAGAGAGAAAAAACTTGCACTTGAAGCGTCTATCGTCGAGAAAAAGATGAAGGTTGAGAAATTAACCGTAGAATTGCCTTTAGCCAATGGCTCAATTGGAAAATTGACTAAAGAACATTTCTCGGTTAATGATCAAGTAGCTAGCCTCAAGAATGAGAAGAGTATAGCTCAAGAAAGCCTCACAAGCTTGGAAGAAAAATACCAAAATCTTGAGCTAAACTATAGTACACTTTGGGCTAGCACTTCAAATTCTCCTAAGACAACCGAAGACTATAATGTCTCAACTAGTAATGATTGTGAAAAATACTATAAAATTGATGTGAATGCATATACAACTAACCTTGTTGAGTTAGAGAAAAAAGACAAGGAGATTCATAGGTTGAAGATGATCTTGAAGAATGGGTGCAAGTGTCAAGAGCAATTCAACAAGACTATATACAAGTCATCAAGGCACCCATCAATCAAGGAAGGCATTGGCTACAATAGGTATGATAGAAAGGCCAATAGAATGAACATGATCAATGGTGTGCCTTGTGTGAAGTTCAACAAGGGCGTTGCTCTTGATGAGCTTATATGCAAGGCCAACAATAAAGTCTACATTCCAAAGATCCAACCTATAAAGTGACAAGACAATCAAGACGAAGCAATCTGAGGCCCCCAAGCCACAAGCACCACTTTCACGGTGCTATGCTAGTGACTATATATGTTGTTGGGACAAGGATGGCAAGATTATGGTTAAGTATATTGGTGCCTAAAAGAG